CTCCCGGCTTCGCCACCGACTCCTTGCGTGGTCCTGGTCCGTCCCCTCTCAGCAATTGGGGGCTGCTGTCCCCAGCACGGTGCAGCCGCAGGAGGGGCCCAGACTTCCCTAAGGTCTGGAAAGCCTATGGGAGCCTGCTGGGGAAAGCGCTGCACAAGTTCAAGGCGCTGCTGGGAATAATACTTTGTGTCTCTGCACCCAGGCTGGGGTTCCGTCTCCTGGGGGTGTTATGGACCAGTTCAGGCTTGCAGCTGAGTGGGGAGTAAATTAAAGCAGTAAGTCATATGGTTTGTTCTGAGTTCTTACTGCTCTGATTTACTGAAGAAAGATCTGTGTGGAGTGCTCAGATGACTGATCACTGAACACCCCCAGGAGCTAATTCCGTACACACAGTGGACCCATTGGACTTGTAAACTTCTGAAATTTCTCCTAGACAAGGCAAATTGGGTTGTCAGTTCTCCCTCACCTAAAGAAAGAATTCACAGAAGAACTAAAGTCTGCATTATAAATGTGAAACAACCTTACAGCTGTCTTTCTTTTTCTCTAGGGGCAGCAGCCATGTAATCTCTTAAGAACAGCACCCTCTTGCAAGTGTTCTGAAGATCATACTTCTTCTCAGCATGTCCTCGAATGAGAATTTTTTGCTGTTGATAACTGGAAGGGTGCTTGGAGTTTCCTAACTCCTTTGTTTCTTCTATCAAAAGCCCACCGTCTTCTCAAAAACCTTTCTCTGTCACTTTAGGTGCTATACCTTATTTGTGTCAAAATGCTGCGATATTGGGGTGAGATTCCAGTGTCGACCAGTCAGGCCAACCGTAGCTCCTTTGATTTGCTTCAGCGTGAGTTTCGCACTGTGGAAGTCCAAGATCCTCCATTACATCAGCCCTCTGCAAACAAGCCCAGGCCACCCACCATGCTGGACATCCCCTCGGAGCCCTGTAGCCTCACCATTCACACTATTCAGCTCATCCAGCACAACAGACGACTGCGCAGCCTCATTGCCATGGCTCAGGCCCAGAACCAGCAGCAAGTGGAGGGCATAAAGACAGACGAGAGCGAGCCTCTGCCATCCTGTCCTGCCTCCCCACCCCTCCCTGATGACCTGCTTCCTCTGGATAGCAAAACCCCCAAAATGCCATTTCAGCTAAGGCACAGTGATCCAGAGAGCGACTTTTATAGGTGTGTTGATGTCACTTTGGATTAAGTCTCTGCACGCAACTTTATATGTACAGAGGCAGTCAAGGTGGATCCTTTTCCGGGGAGTGGCTGTCTTAGAGGATCATTAAGGAGGGAGGGAGACTAAGGTATAGTGATTAGAGAAGGAGACTAAAGTCGGAAATCTTGAATTCTACTCTTGCCTGTGTATTCATTTGCTATCCGTAAAAATGTGTTTAGCAATTCTGATTGGTCTCTCAGCAGGGTGAGGCTTAGTGTTTGTAAATGTGTTCTGACATCTGCTGGAAGGAGCTGTAGAGGTTCAATGATAGTTTTTGATCTTTAGATTCCTCATTTAAATCCAGTTGCTGATTCAAATCCAGTTTAGAGAATTGTATGGTTATAGACACTGAATTCCCTTCTCCCTAAAACTGGCTTTTCCAACTGAGGGCTAGTGGGACAGTTTGTAGGAAACTTGCATTGCTTCTGCCTCTGCTCCACCTGTTCTTTGGGTAAATAGGGGTCCAATCTCTGGGGTTTTCAAACAGCAATCTTTATTTTGCCAGCACTACATTAACAAGAGAGAGTGCGTTTTCTACAGGATGCCGAGGTGCTTTACCGACTGTATCGTTTTATTTACAGAGATCACTGTCTCACCATTATAATACAGTATGCTCTTAGGTGGAATAAGGTAGACACTCCATATATGTTGTAGGAGAGAAGAATAACTTCTATTGAAATAGGGGGAATTTAGGTCAACATAAAGTGATTAACCAATTGTGTTTGGATAGGACCTTAGGGTTAACACCCTTTCTTCTCCTGCTGTGGGATCTTTAATGACCACAAATGGCTAGGAATTCTACTTTCTGTCTCACTTGAAAGTAGAGCAGGGCGACACTTTTCAGCCAAAACCTTTTCCAGTGAGAAATGCAGATTTGGCAACACCAAAATGTTTTGCTAATTTGTATCAATTTTGCCAAATTGTTTGGTTTAAAAGCAACAACAAAACACATACAAAAATGAGAAAAAATCAAAATGTTTCGGCACTTTCAGAACAATATTGTGTTATTTAAAACAATTAAAACTAAGTCCAATGTTTAAAATGGTCTAAATCAAAACAAAATATTTTGATTTTGTTGAAACCAAACAATTTGAAATGTTTTTTTTGTGTTTGGATTTGCTGAAAATTAAAAATAATAATTTTTTTTTTTTTGGTTCAACCCAAACCAATATTTTAAATTGCCAGTGAACCATGTTGGGGCACTGTTTCAATAATCACTTTGAAAGAAAAACATCATCTTGTAAAGAAGAAAAGGTCAGCAGTATAAAGATAAGATTGGGAATGCCAACTATGTCAAGAAAATAGTTGTTTATATCATCAAGTTAAAATAATAATAGTCATGTGTACTTCAGTATGTTGCCTTATACCTCAGGACTTCATAGTGGTTTGTAAATATCAGTGAATCAAGTCTTGTAGTACTCTTGCAAAAACAGGCATCATCCATGTTTTACAAATGGGGAACAGAGGCATATGGGTGAAGTAGCTTTTCCAAGGTCACTCAAAAACTCATGTTCCCTGCTAAGTCATAGAGCCTAGATCAGGGATTGGCAACCTTTGGCATGCGGCTCGCCAGAGTAAGCCCCCTGGCGGGCTGGCCGGTTTGTTTACCTGCTATGTCCACAGGTTCAGCCGATCGCGGCTCCCTGTGGCCGCGGTTTGCCGCTCCAGGCCAATGGGGGCTGTGGGAAGCGGCTTGGGCTGAGGGATGTGCTGGCCGCTGCTTCCCGTAGCCCCCATTGGCCTGGAGTGGCGAACTGCGGCCAGTGGGTTCTGCGATCGGCCAAACCTGTGGATGCAGCAGGTAAACAAACTGGCCTGGCTTACTGTGTGCCAAAGGTTGCAGATCCCTGGCCTAGATCATGACTTGTAGTTATGTAATTTAACCATTAGATGCAATTAATGCATTTGCCCTACTGACTTCCTTTTTCAGACCTCCTCAGGTACCTAAGATGAGAAGTCAAGTGAGGCTTACTTGGATCTTGTTTGCACGCAGTTTGCATAGCTAATTCATTCTAACTTGTTTCATTTCATGGATGTGTTAAGCTTTTTTTTTTTAAGTTGAGCTTTCATTGTAAAGGTTCAAAATGTTTTTGATCAGATTTCACTTTGGTTTAGACAAATGTTGTAAATCCCTTTCATGTTTAGAGGGAATGAGTAATTAAGATAGTTATTGATAAAAACAGAACCTCAACCCTCTCCTTGTCTACTACAGTCATTGAAGATGGTCTAGGGCAGGAGTTCTCAAATTGGGGTCAGGACCCCTCAGGGGGTTGCAAGGCTATGGGGTGGGGGGGGGAAATGTGTGGGTCGCGAACTGTCAGCCTCCATCCCAAACCCCGCTTTGCCTCCAGCATTTATAATGGTGTTAAATATATTAAAAAGTGTTCTTAATTTATAAGAGGGGTCACACTTAGAGGCTTGCTATGTGAAAGGGGTCCCCAGTACAAAAGTTTGAGAACCACTGGTCTAGGGAAACAATATTTATAACAGTTAGCCACCTAGGAAATCTTAAGGTCAGAAATGTGAATAATTGGTGCAGTGCAACTTGGGAGTGACATGTTTTGTGGGTTACAAAGAGGGAGATTTTAATGGGCTTTGGTGAATTTGGAGTTTAATGCAAAATATGGTTTAATTGTGTGCCTCACAGATTAAACTGTTTTAAACTCTTGCAGGACAGGAACTTGAAGGTCCATGTAGTGTATGTTTTTATTCAGTTCTAGGATAGAATAGAGAAAATCTCTGTGTTGAATTGACATTTTATGTGACTAAAAATAGCAGCTGCAGTTACACTAGCTAGAATAAAAGTACAAAGGTTGTCAGCCCTCGTTCTTCAGTGATCATAAACAGAGATAGGGAAGACATTTCCTCTTTATGATACGGTTGGCTTTTATATTTTCCTCTGAAGCATCCATTGTGTTCCACTGCCAGAGACATAGTATCAGACTAATTGGATGACTGAACTATTCCAGTTCCTTTATTCACTGTAATAACTCCCATTCTAGAGGAAACAGAGTGTGTATATACTTACAAAAAGAAAGACTAGCAGGTTTTCATTGGTGTAGGAACTGAAAACAGAGGGTTAAGTTTTCAGCATTGAAAGTTTAATGTACAGCAGATTTATAATTACCATCTGAGCTGGAGACTTCTACCATAACATGACTGCTAGTTTTCTCTCTGTCTGCCTCCAACGGCCATGGAATCATCTTCAAAAGAGAGACAACCTACTCCCTCACTCTTTTCCCCCACAAAGCATCTCAAATACTTTTTCTCACTTGCCGATTGAGGTTTCTTAGCTGGCCTCCATTGCTGTTCTCTCTGACTCTGTTAGTTGCCTCCCTGACCTTCTGGTTCAGGTGCAGGCGCCACACTCCTCCCAGGCTGGGGAATGGCAGCAGGCAGGAAGTACCCACTAATGGTTAGGGATTGATTTTTTTCCAATGGAGTTGCAACTTGCATGGGGAGAATGTGCTGAGGATCAGGATTTCTGATAGTAGAGACTGGGGGATGCAGAGCAGATCAGCTCTCTTTCTCTGGACTAGTACAGCATCTTATCCTCAAATCCCAGCCAGTTTAGGTATAATCCACCTGGGAACTTTTTCCAAGGGTGAAATCAGCACTAATTATACCAGTTCCTGGCTATCCCTGGACAACCGGGCGCAGGCAGATGAAAGACAATGGAGACACTTAAAAAGAGGTGTATTCAGAAAGGAAAAAGAGGATTGGCCTTCACAACACCCTCTGGCAAAGAGTGTTGTGAAGGCCAATACTATAACGGGGTTCAAAAGGGAGCTAGATAGATTCATGGAAGATAGCCATTGATGGACCTATTAGCCAGGATGGGCAGGAATGGTGCCCCTAGCCTCTGTTTGGCAGAAGCTGGGATTGGGTGACAGCGAATGGATCACTTGAGGATAACCTGTCTGTTCATTCCCCTTGGGGCACCTGCCATTGGCCACTGTCAGAGGACAGGATACTGGGCTTGATGGTCCTTTGGTCTGACCCAGTATGGCCGTTCTTATGTTCTTAAGAGTCCCCTTGCCCAGCAAAGCTCTCCTTATTGTAATCATTGTGTTCTCCAGCTCTGTGGCTCTCAACCTTTCCAGACTACTATATCCTTTTCAGATGTCTGATTTGTTTTGTGTACCCCCAAGTTTCACCTCATTTAAAAATGACTTGCTTACAAAATCAGACATAAAAAATACAAAGGTGTCGCAGCGCACTATTACTGAAAATTGCTTACTTTTTCATTTTTACCATAAAATTATAAAATAAATCAATTGGAATATAAATATTGTACTCATATTTCAGTGTATAGTATATAGAGCAGTATAAACAAGTCATCTGTATGAAATTTTAGTTTATACTGACTTTGCTAGTGCTTTTTATGTAGCCTGTTGTAAAATTAGGCAAATATCTAGAGGAGTTGATACACCCCCCTGGAAAACCTCTGGTTGTGAACCACTGCTCCAGCACACTTTGTATCTAATTTAACCTTGTTTTTCCAGCATCATCCTTTGCTCTTTTGCATGGGGGGGAAATGGTTCTCAAGTGATGGGAATTTTTGCACCTCATTTGGTAAAAATCAGCTCAGCGGTGTAATGTTTCATAAAATTGAAGTGCTCATGAGAAAATAATCTTTTCTTTCCCTAGACCTGATGCTAGTTCAGTGCTCACCTTTGGCAGACTATGACTTCCTTCCATTATTTTACATGAGCCAACCTCAGTTGTTGCTCCACGTATTGAATTGGCCCAATTACCTTCACTTTAACATGCTAGTTAAACAGGAAATGGCCCACCAGATTTTCCTTCCTTTAAAGGAAATGGCCTTGCTAGAGAGCGGCTTGGACACAAGAATGCTTCTGATTGCTTCATATGGGGGCAGTAGATAGATGGCATGCTGTCATGTTAAGAGACTGCCACAGAAAATGTGCCATTTTATGAGGCTGGCAACCTCATTTACTCTGAAGGCTAAGTTTGATTGATCTGAGTTGGCAGATTTGTCAATTTGCTAAAGTGATATTCTGTACATTTCGGGCCCATTGACGGGGATGGGGAAAAACCAGCATTTCAGTTTATATATTCTTAGGTTGGGTAGATGGTTTTTCCTCCATATCGTCTACCGCAGTGGTGGTCCATAAAAATGTAGAGGTGTTCATAGATCTTTATGTAGATCTATGATGTAAATGAGGATCTATTATTGTCAAATGGGCCAGTATCTCATAGTATTTATGGTAACTGAAAATAGCCTGGATACTCTTCTGCAGAGATGATCGAAATCTAAGCCACCAAATTACACACTTGCAAGTCTGGGACTTGCCAACCCATGGTGACTAAATCTTAGGGGTAAAGATTCTTCTGTTTATTCATAGCTACATGATACTGATTAAGTGTTAAGCAGGCTCAGGTTTGGTTGGTAGCTGGATGGGAGACTTCTTGGAAAGCATTAGAAGCTGTAGGAAGTGGCATTCTGCTGTCAAAGTCAGTAGGGATAAGTGTTTAGGAGTGCTGTGTTTCTGGAGATGCCAAACTTTGAATGAGGTGTAAAGCCAAGGTTCTTACTAGTTATGGTCATTTAAAAAAAAAAATCTTATGGCCTTTTTTGCAAAGGTTTGTCGCTACAAGGACACCTTCAATGTAAAATTTGCTCTTCTGTCTGAAAATGTTTTCCTATTGATACAAGCACTGGCAAATATGAGGCTAGCTCAAAGGAGTTGAGTGGGGGAATGTTCTCTCTCTCTTCCCCTCCCCCCCCCCAAGTCTGTTTACACGGGGCGTTTGACAGCACTTTGTGTATAGGAAATTTCACTGTTTCCCCTGTATAACTAATTCATTAATCACCTTCTCCTGTTGTTCCTGTGAGGAAAAAACACCAAAACAAAAACAAACAAAAAACCAACCAGGAAACTGTGTTCACGAAACTACAAAAATTGGGATGGAGAGACAGAGAGAGGCACTGTACCTGGGAAACTGTCTGTTTCTGTCTCTTTTTCTCGCTCTCTCTCTCTCTAAATGGATTAGATTTTATATTGACTATATTCCTTTGACCTCAGTGTCCTGGTCACATGGTAATTAGGTTCTTTTCCAGCATTCTTCTTTGCTGCTAAATGTTGCTGTGCATCGTTAATCAGTAGCTGGAGGTGGTGGTGTACCTCAAATGGGCTAACTGAATTATGTCTCTAGTGTTTAAGCTTGCAAAGTGCCTCATTTGACAGCTACTAACTATATTTAACCATGCCTCTCTACCCACCTAAAAAGAAAGGACCAGTCCCTGGCTTTGACAGTGGTTCTCTTCCGCTGTGGAAGAAAGTGGAGAACGAGTCCCCCTGTGCTGATATTGTAAGAGGCATAGGGCTCTCCGTGAGCTACTGAAGAGTATGGCAATACAAAAAGGGTACAAAAACAGCATGGATGATGCTTGGGCTACAGAGAAACCAGATGATCTTTCAATTGGTGTATCAGAGCCTGCTTTCTCCATTCTAAGGCAGATGGCATAATTAAATAAAAATCCAGATGAGTCACTTCATAGAGATTAATAACTAGGAGGAGTTAATGACCTGGGGTCCACACAGCTATTCTTATTTCCCCAGGTAATACCCTGATCTGAGGCTTTTCCTGTACTATTAATTGTTTACTTTAACGTTATTATTTAAAAGAATTTCATACGAGTGAAAAATGTGGAGTTGAGAGCCTGGCAAATGAAGCCCTCTACTAGGTATCCACAGAAGGGTTTTGGTACCGATAGCAATAGTGCATGCTTCCCTCTCACTATGTGACACACACATACCATGGCTCAGCCCTGTTTTGTGGGGGGCCCTCTTTAAGGATCAGAGGGGAGTTGAAGCTCTGAGGCCATGCATTTTTTTCTGAGACTGAAAGGTGCCAGTTGTGATGGTATGTTCTATGATGTAGACATCTGCATTCTAGGCATTGCAGTGAGACCAACCTCTCCTCTTAAGCAAGCCACTAAGCAGTTAGCAGATGATATCTGTAAGGTATCAAGTGGTGGCAAGTTATTGGAAACATTTGGTGGTGCAAGTGTTTGTGGAGGAGGTGAGGAATTAGGAAGTTGGGTTTGTAAGGAGATCAGAAAAGGAAACTGATCAGAAACTGAAGGTAAAATTAACTGGTCTAGTTTAACTGCTGGAACTGAGTGAAGTATTAAAAAGCAAACAAAAAACATACCAAGTGAACAGAATTTTAAAGTCTGTTGGGCCAGGCATATGCTCTTTTGTCTTTCAAATTCCTCAAAACTTTTCTTTCCCCTGTGAAACTCTCAAATACTAACCCACCTCAGTAAAAAATTATCACCCACTCATTACAAGAATATTGTAAATGTTGTAAGCCAGTGGTTCTCAGCCTCTCCCATACCTCTCCTACCCTCTGCTTCCCATCCAGGACCCCATCACCCTCAATATGAGGAAGGGCAGTGTGGTCACAACCCCTAAGCTATGAATCCCTGTTCTAAGACAGCGCCTTTCTCTGGATCTCCCAGCATGCTTTGTGTTACATTGCAAATTGTACTGTCTCTCTCTTCCTGCTTCTTCTATAGCACCAAGTGCATTGCTTAGAGGTGACCTGGAAAAAATGGGCTTGTACCTTTTTGTGCATACTTTACAATTTAACAAAGTGTGTGTGCTCTGGTTGTTTTTTTTAACATTACAAATTTACATCTTGTCTGTCTTGGAAGCCTCTGTGGATGACTGGAGAGCTAATAGGCCTGTGACATTAGAGATAACAAGGAAGTGAAACCTGATTAACTGAGCGGGGAAGAGATTTGCATTCAGGTTGTTAAAACTCCTTACTTTTGTGTGTGTGTGTTTAGCACCTGTTTAATTCAGACCTCTGGGAGAAAAGCTCTTGGTTTAATTAAGGGCTGAGAAAGCTCAGTCCACATTTGAGTCACTCAAGGAGTCTTCCAGCATAAAAAAGAAAGATGAGATTCTACATTTCTGATATTTGTCAGGAAAAAAAATAAGCAGCCAATAAACCTTCTAGGCCTCCTCCATACATAACAGAGATGCCCTAAAGGACCCAAACCCAACAGCTTTTCCTTTGCAGGTCACCTCTGCAAAATTAATGGCACAGATCTTTTAACAGTCAACAGTTTTTTCCTCTTCCCTATTTTCCTGAGGTGCGCGAAGGCCTGCTCATGTTGTCCTCTCTGCTTTTAGAGGGAAAGGGGAACCAGTAACTGAGCTGAGTTGGACCTCCTGCCGGCAGCTTCTCTACCAGTCCATGGCCACCATCCTGGCCCATGCGGGGTTCGAGTGTGCCAATGAGAGCGTCCTGGAGACCCTGACAGACATTGCTCATGAGTACTGCTTGAAGTTCACCAAGCTGCTGCGCTTCACTGTGGATCGAGAAGCTCGGCTTGGGCAGACGCCTTTCCCAGACGTAATGGAACAGGTGTTCCATGAAGTGGGCATTGGCAGCGTGCTCTCTCTGCAGAAGTTCTGGCAGCACCGCATTAAGGATTATCACAGCTACATGCTGCAGGTAAGGATAGAGATGTAAAAAATGCTGCTTAATGAAAGACACTCCCACTGCAATCTCTTGTTGCTATACAGAGAACTGTCTGGATCAGCGAGTTAATGTCCAACTAGATCTCTTATTTTGGGGGGTCAGGGAGGGTTTTAGTAAAAACTACCAGAAGGCGAGGCTAGGAGTGTTGTGGTAGTAGCATGCCTGGCCTTTAAGGGAGGAAACCCCTTAGCTGTCTGCCCCTTTGCCGATCTAGAAATATGTGGATGGTTGGCCCGGGAGGAAGCTGTGTTTCTGTCCAGAAAAGTGGGTCAGCCCAATAAAGGAGGTAAGAAAGGAAAATTGTTTGGACCTTCCCCATCTTCTTTTCTCCAACAGAAGCTTCCACAACTTGTTTAATATTGAAGAGTTCTATTGTTTGAAAATAGATGATCAAACAAGTAAATTCTTCTACAGAGAGAGCCTATTCAACCAGAGAATTTGTGATTAAATTCCCTGCAGTGATAACATAAATTTATATTGCATTTTTCACTCCAAAGAGCTTTATCAAATCCAGAGTTGTTTCACCCAGAACCAGGAGTTGTTTCAGCATCCTGGATCCATAATTTATCTGATCTTCCATGGATTTGTGTAAACCACCCAACAACAGAAACAGGATACTTTGATTTCCTAATGTTCTCTAGAGTCTAGTTGAATAGAATGGTAATCATGCAGTGAGTGAGGAGATATGCATAGTACTAGAAAGCCCCTGGTATTTGTCAGAATGACTGAGTGAGTTAAACAGTGTTCAGCTTGACATACAAGTGAAACAATTTCCATGTAAGGAAAACAAAATTCAGAAGAAGGAAAAAGTCAGTACTGATTTATCAACTTGATTTCTATTTCTGTGGGTCATTGGGATGTTCCGATGTATTTTAGTAATGTAAAGCAGTGAGCGCACAAACCAACCTAATTGTAACATATAGCTCGTGAAATGAGGTGGTTTGTTGAAACTGTACAGAAAGTTCAGTCTGAGAATACACTGCTGTGTAGTCTTTCTGTGAGCTGTTAAACAGCTGCTGCCTCCTATTCCCAGAAGTGGCTACATTTTTCAGTGAATGCTGAAACAACTCCTGGTTCAGGGTGAAACAACTCTGGATTTGATAAAGCTCTTTGGAGTGAAAAATGCAATTTAAATTTATGTTATCACTGCAGGGAACTGGTTTCTTTTGAACTAGTTTTTCCACAGAGTTAAACGCTGGCATATTGTTTTAGTGACATAGATATAAAGATATTCTCCTCTTCATGGACTCATGTAAATGCTATGAATGTGAAGGAGAATAATATTGATGCTCATTAAGAAGAGAATTGTACCCCCTGTAGAGTCCATGACCTGAGGCAAAATCTGCCTCATCTGATCTTCCTAGGGATTTATTCTGTGCTCCCTACCTTGGTATTTGAGAGACTTTTGGGGCAGCTCAGTTGCACTTCCACACTCTTCCTGCATGGCAGGACTTGCACAGAGTTTGCATAAATCAGAGACCTGCAAATGTCAGTGGCATATAAATTGTGAGTGGTTCTGATTCTTTTTTTTTTTTTT